AAAAAAAAAAAAAAAAAAGAAAGTCATGTGTCTCCACTTAACATCAGCGCTTCTGCCATTTTCCAAATGAACCAATCTCTAAGACACTCCTTGCGTTCTGCACATTCCCTCTCACACAATTCTTGATATTCATCTTAAACACTTTTCACTTGCCTGAAAATGTGACAGCATGGAATGACTTGCCCACAAAACATGCCTTATTTTGAAGATGGCCTATAGATAAATTCTTTCTTTTAGGTAGAGTTAACCAAATGGAGCACAATACGCAAGTCTTAGAAGGCTTACAAAACTCTGGGCTCCCCAGAGTTTGCTATTTCTTTTCAAATCAAACTGTGTAAACGTGATATACCAAATGAAATTCAAAGGCCAAAGACTCATCTCAATGGAATTTGTGGTTTTAGACTCATGAAACTCACTTAGATGAAACTTGCATTTTCCACAGCTGTGCCTGAAACTTCCCATGGCAAGAATCTTTACATCACTGCTGACAGCTTAGTGAACAAATTGCTTAGTTTATAGCTATAACCAGTTCTGTCAGCAGAGGAAAGAATTAAGATAAATCTATTAGACTACGGTTATATGATAATAAATCAAAACAATCATTCCAAAGACTTAATTTTAAAATATAAGTGGCACATGAGTAACTATGCTGATGCTTAGTTTAATGAATATTTAGTGAGAGAAACAATAAGAAAATAAATTCTTTATAAAATGATTCCTTAATCATAGCACTATTGGAATAATACAATGTAATTCCATCATGTTTCAAGTTTGCAGAAAAATTTGACAAAGGGCCTATATGTGGAGAAAGATAGTATGTAAGTAATAGTTAAATATAATAAGAAAGAGATCACTAATCTAAGAACCCGTAGTACTATTTTTAATAGAATAATATTTTTGGATTGAGATGGGGAATACGTATATAAAGCAGACAGACAGATTCATACTCTTCATTTTGAAAGATACAAAATTCTGTAACATTTACTGTGACTCTATCATTTATTAATACGAAGTAATATTTTTTTCTCCACCACAGAACTATGGAAATAAAATGTACAAAATTGCAAAAAAATTGAATAGTAGAGATATGTTTTAGTTTTAATAAATATAAGTATCCTTTGACATGGGTTATTCCAATTGTTGTAGCTAAAAGTTAATTATTTTAAAAAACTTTAGTCCTAGGCATTAAAAATTTATTTTTATTTTGCATTTTTATGGGTACATAGTAGGTGTGTATATTTGTAGGGTATGTGAGATGTTTTGATATTGGCACACAATGTGAAATAAGCACATCTTATGGAGAATGGGGTATTCATCCCCTCAAGCACATATCCTTTGAGTTAGGAATTTTTTCACTGGCCCATGATGTAACAGATTTGCATATTTCAACAAATCACCTAACCTCCATAAGCCCCAGTTTTCACTTTTATTGATAAGCATATGGACTAGATTCTCTCTAACATTCTTCTCAACTTTAAACCTGAATAATATCAATGGTCTTTGAGGACGTGGAGGACATTGTATAAGAGTGTCTTTCCTGTTACCAACCAACCAAAACAAAAAAGAAGTGAAATAGAAATCTTGAAGTTCTATAAGGATATCTATGGTATGTTGTTTATTTAACACATATTTTTGGAATTCCTACTACCGTAATGCAACTCTTAGGCATACCTTTCCCTCCACATTGTAGCATTTATAAAATTTTTATTACCTGTAATGGCATGCCATAATTAAATCATTAGCGTTATTTTTTTTCTTACAGTTACGTAAAATAATAGTTCAATTTATTCTCTATGTAGTTTTAGGATGGATGAACTTCAGAATATGTCAGGCAGCATGCTGTGAGCTAAGAATACCTGGCATCTCCTCTTATAAAGCTCCAATTCTAAACATACACTGAAGATTCTTGAATAATGTCATTTTGTTAGCTGTGTTTTCTATAGTGATGAGAAAAAAAATGGATTCCTGCCTGGAGCCACTGTCTGTGGAGTTTGCATTTTCTCTCCATGTCTGCATGATTTTTCTCTGGCTACTCTGGTTTTCTTTCCATGTCACAAACATGTGCATGTGTAGATTAGATGAATTGGTGTATTAAATTGTCCCCATCTGGGCAAAAGTGAATATGTGTGTGATTGTGCCCTATGATGGGATGGCATCCTGTCCAGAGTAGGTTCTTGCCTGGCACTCTGAGCTGCTAGGGTAGGCACTGAACACCCAAGACCCTGAATTGGAATGACTGGGCAAATAATTATCTTACTTGTTTTAAATTAACATTTCTTAAATGTATGTATGTGTAGCCCATATTTATTTCAATGTTTAATATTAGAAGTGTTTTGTTCTTTATGAGCAATGGGAAAGGGATTCCCTATTGAATAAATGGTGCTGGGATAGCTAGTTAGCCATATGCGGAAGATTGAAACTGGACCCCTTCCTTACATCACATATAAAAATCAATTCTAGATGCATTAAAAACTTAAATATAAAACCCAAAACTATAAAAACCCTGGAAGACAAACTTGACAATATCATTCTGGACAGAGGAATGAGCAAAAGTTTCATGATGAAGACACGAAAAACAATTGCAACAAAAATAAAAATTGACAAATGTGATCTAATTAAACTGAAAAGCACTGCAGCAGAAACTACCAACAGAGTAAACAGACAACTTACAGAATGGGAGAAAATTTTTGCAAACTGTGCATCTGACAAAGGTGTAATAACCAGCATCTGTAAGGAACTTAAACAAATTTACAAGATAGAAACAAAAAAACTTATTAAAAAGTGGGCAAAGAAAATGAATGAACACTTTAAAAGAAGACATACATGTGACAAACAAGCATATGGAAGAAAGCTCAGTATCACTGGTTATTAGATAAATGCAAACCAAAATCACAATCAGATGGCATCTCACACCAGTCAGGATGGCTATTACTAAAAACTCAAAAAATAACAGGTGCTGGTGATGCTTCAGAGAGAAAGGAATGCTTATACACTGTTGGTGGGAGTGTAAATTAGTTCAACTATTGCAGGAAGTAGGGTGGTGATTCCTTAAAGAGCTAACAACAGAACAGCCATTCAACCCTGCTGTCTCATTACTGGGTATGTACCCAGAGAAACTTAAATCATTCTATTATAAAGATACAGGCATATAAATGTTTATTGCAGTACTATTCACAATAGCAAAGACATGGAATCAACCTAAATGCTCATCAGTGACAGAGTGGATAAAGAAAATGTGGCACTATGTAGGCATAAAAAAGGAGATGATGTATTTTGAGGGAACATGGATGGAGCTGGAGACCATTATCCTTAGCAAACCAATGCAGGAACAGAAAAACAAACACAGCATATTCTCACTTACAAGTGGGAAAAATGAGGAGAACTATAGACACAAAAAGAGGAAGAACACACACTGGGGCCTACTTGAGAATAGAGGGTAGGAAGAGGAAGAGGATTAGAAAAAAATAGCAATTAGGCACTAGGCTTAGTAACTGGGTGACGAAGTAATCTTTATAACAAACCCCTTGAGACATGAGTTTACCTATATAACAAACCTGCACATTTATCCCTAAAGCTAAAATAAATAGTTTTTAAAAATTAAATTTAAAAAATAAAATCTATGTGAAACCAAAAAAAAAAAAAAGAGTTTTTGTCTTTATTTGAAAGTTTAGTGATGTTTTTGTGACCAAAATATGCCATAGAAAATTTAACTCTTGTTGACATCAATTAGCCTACAGTAAAACTGGTTTTCTTATACTTCATTTAGCTTAATGTCACAGTTTCCAAGAACATATCCAGGGTGTTTAGTGAGGACTTACTGTAATGACATAAAGAATTCCAACATTGTTATACATGCTGTAGGTCACATCACTGCACAGTATCCTTATCTAGCACCAGACTTCCTCCCACCATCAGCTCCTCACCACTTCTACACATAAAGTATTTATTTCACATCATGAATAACCTCTTTGCAAAATGATATACGTTTTAAAACAATAGAAGGATTTTAACACATTGTTTCTGAGACAGCCTTCTATGCCAATGTGGAACTCATGAGACCTT